GGATTTTCCATATATCATTGTATATAACCAGAGCTGGATTCAGAAATTGAAAAAATAATTAGTCGTTATATCTGAGTTGGGTGAGGTAGCAGAGGCAGCAATTCTTCTTCAAGGTATTTCTTAATAAGATAATCTATGAGAGATGGCCATTTATTAGAGCAGTATTCCTGTGTCAGCAGGAATTAAGAGACTGTGCTGTCAACTGTAGCAATATGATTTCAGGTCCCAACATACTCGATTTCAGTGAACTGTGGAAAAATCTTTTTGGCAATTTAGAGCGTGGTTTCCCTGGATTGGTGACTGGATTTACTGGATAGCTGTAAGGCTGGACATGACCCTGTGCAATCCAATGCAAAATTGACATCATTAGAAGAGTCAAGCAAACAAGGGCAGAAACCAGCACTCCAGGGATTATGGAGTAGGGCTAAAACTGATTCTGAAAATAAGCCATGAAATTACTTATAACTATCAAAGAAAACAGCCTGTGGATTCACCATTCTTGATATCCGGTGAGGGGTTACTTAATGAAGGTTTAAGAAAATGGGATTAGCATTAGAGATATATTTGACAAAATAGTATGTTGAGAACGACTTGAATGAGTGAGAGCTGGATTGACATCAGTCAAGATACAGCCAGTAGTGTAGGTGTTGTGGAGAGGGTGAGGAATTAAGGCAATTAATTGAGTGTTGCATACAATATCTTCCTTATCAAAATGTCTATAACCCATTAATCCTTGGTGTGTTGCTGAGAGTGGTGGATTGGCTCACAGCTGAAGGGCTTGTGTTTGTGTGAATGTATACTGGGAGAGCAGTGTGACATAGATTCCTCATCCTTGAGGACAGATGCCATAATCTGCTGAACAGAAATATCTTGTTGCACTGGACTCTGGGTTAAGTGTCTCCTGTTGCATCTAGTTAGACAGTCATCCTCTGACTCTTGGTGTTTCTCCTCTTGGTGCTGGCTGTTGCAGACTGGTACTTCTTGTTTCTGAAAAGAAAACGCATTTAACCCATACTCAATGAGTTGCTTTATTTGTGTCTGTCTCAGGCTGTTAATTTTTTGCCTCTCTTAACTTAGTGCCTTTGTGTTGTGTTGAGTTTAAATTCTGTGAGCTGCAACAGCAATATGAAATGCAGATGCTGAGGGCTAGTCAGAGGTTAGGAAGCTGTAATTCAGGTCAGAAATTTATAGGAATGCAAGCAGAATGTTCAGAATTTGAACAGATTGTTGAACCAGTTGTTTCTAACAGAGACCAGAATTAGCTTGTGTTAATTGGTGCCAACTTCTAGAATTTTCCTCCACTCCAGTGTGAACTATGTTGAAATGGAGTCACTGTCAAAAGTTCTGATACCAAATGCAGACTTTTCATTGAAAACAAAAAAATGCTGGAAATCACAGCAGGCCAGGCAGCATCCATGGCAAGAGAGCAGGCTAACGGTTCAAGTCTTAGATGATTGTTTATCAGAGCTGGCGTGAAGTGTGGAGGGGGCAGAATTTACACAATAATGGAGGTGTGCAGTTCTGGGGGAGAAAAGGTGCTCATAGTGCAGTTTAAGTGATCTGAATGTGAGAATGGCAGAACAATGGTGTATCTAACTGCCAAATTGGAAAGAACAGACAGTCCAACTGGAGTGGGTAGAGGGGAGAGAGGACATGGTGACAGAGAATGTAACAAGTAAAGCTAAAAGAAAGGGAAGAAATGGGAGTGCATTCATAACCTGAAAGTGTTGAATTCCAGATTAAGTTGTAAAATGCTAGTCTGAAGATGAAATGTTGTTCCTCCAGTTTGCACTGTGATTTGCTGGAACATTGCAGACAAGTGGGCATGTGAGCAGGATGCTGTGTTAAAATGGGAAGGTTGGGGTCATGCTTGCGTATGGACCGGAGGTGTTCTGCAAAGCAGTCACTGAATCTCTATTTGGTTTCACCAATGTATACAGGCCTCGGGTGCAGCGAATGCAATGCACCAGTTTGGAGGAGGTACAGGTGAAATGCTGCTTCACCTGGAAAGGCTGTTCAGGCCCTTTGATGGTGAGCAGTAACGAGGTGAAAGGGCAGGTATTGCATCATCTTTGGTAACATGGGAAGGTGCCGTGGGGAGGCAGGAGTGGTATTAGCGGTCAAGGTATGGACTGGGGTGTCCTGGAGGGAATGGTCCCTGCAAAATGCAGGCAGGAGAGTGAAGGGAAAATGTATTAGGTGATGGCGTTCTGCTGGAGGTGTCCTAAATGGTGAAGGATGATCCTTTGGATGTGGAGGCTGGTAGGATGAAAAGTAAAGACAAGGGGGATCCAATCACACTGTTGTGAATGATGGGAAGGGGCAAGGCTGGAAGTACAGGTGAAAGGTCAGATCCAGTTGAGGGTGTTGTCAACAAAAGGCTATGAAAGAAGGAAACCATGTTAGCAGTGCTGTTTTGAAAAGTGGCATCATTTGAACAGATATGACATGGGCAAAGGAACTGGGAGAATGGAATGGAGTCCTTGCAGGATGTGGAGTGTGAAGTGCTGTAGTCAAGCTAGCTATGGGAGTCAGTTGTTTTGTAGCAGATGACAATGGACAGTTTATTCCTGAAATGAAGGCTGAGAGATCAAGGAATGGAAGGGAAGTATCGGAGATGGACCATCTGAAAGTTATAGATGGGTAGAAATTGGAGGCAAAACGAACAAACTTTTCAAGGTCCAGGTGAGAGCATGAAGTGGCATCGAAACAGTTGTTGATGTCCTGAGAAGAGAGTTATGGGAGGGGGCCGGTGTAGGTTTGGAACAAGGATTGTTCCACATACCCTATAAAGAGGCAGGCATAACTGAGGCCTTGTGGGTGCCTAAAGCCACTCCTTTGACTTGACAGAATTGAGATAAATAAGGATAAAATTATTCAGTGACAGAGCACGCACAGTGGTGGTGGAGGGGATTGCTCAGGCCTCTGAGGAAGAAGCCAAGAGCTCTCAGACCATCCTGGTGGGGAATGGAGGTACAGAAGGATTGGGCATCCATGGTGAAGAGGAGGCACTTGGGGCCAGGGAATTGGAAATTGTCAGTATTGTGGAGGGCATTCAAGGAATCGCAGCTCTAGATAGACAGGGTCTGGACAAGGGGAGAGAGGATGGAGTCAAGGTAGCTGGTAATGAACTCGTTGGGGCAGGAACAGGCTGATATGATGGGCCAACCAACAAACTTTTCATTTGTTGTTTGCATGCGGACTACATGGTCCTGTGGCTAGCTGTTCCAGTGGCATTACGTGTAAATTGGGCAGTTTTGTACCACATTCCTTTACTGAAGGCTTTTCATGAGCTGGTTGGATTTTCAGGCCAATCAGAAGGCTTCCTGGTTATTTTTCTACAAATCCGCTTGGAACCTCTGATATGGCAGTGTAGTGGTAAACCCACTGCCAACTAAGGCATCAAATATTTCTGCTGCTGTAAAGATATCTCTGCTTTTTGAACCTAGCTCTGTGGAATGTTTACTTCCTTATTTAAACGTTTTTCTCATTTGGGAATTACTCAATTAACCAACACTGAGGACTGTAAAATCAAACTGATTCTCCCAAGCCATCCAATACAATAAGCCATCCTGTGCTAGGTTCTGGAATAGCTCATTGGTGACAGCTTGAAGCTCCCCAATCTGTGGTCATAAGCATTGTGAATTAACTGGGAAGTGACCTTTTCTGTCATATCCACCAACCTGCTTACGTTGGAGTGGATTGTTCTAGTAGTTTTTCTGAACTTTTTTAAACTGCTTTAGTCCTCCGTGATCAACTCCTTAACCTGAACCTGTGTCCCTGTGGTGGTAAATAGAAACTGATAGTCTGTTCCCCATTTTGCTTTTTGTTTCTGCGCACATTTCCTGTTATGTTGCTTTCGGACAGCTCACCTGCTGAGTCGGCACATTTTTTTGATTCTTTTCTTTCCTCCATTGTTATTCCTTTGGCCTTGAACAACTAACTCTTCTGTAATTCAGTCACCCCCCGTTTCCCACACTGTTACAAACTTTTCTTTGTCCTTTTCCTTCCCATACCTTGCTCAACGCTTATTAAATCTCTAACTTTTCCCAGCTCTGCTGCCAGAACATTGACCTGAAAAGTTAATTCTCTTTCTGCAAAGGTACTTCCTAACTTACTGAGCATTTCCAGCATTTTCTGTTCTTAGTGTAGCTCAAAGTACAACTCTTCTAATGGTTGTGTGCAGCAAACCCAAGGAAAATGTGATGGGCAGGAGCAGCACCTGCCTCAAAGAATTCTGCCAAATTTACCTGAGTGGCAGATGGGAATTCATCTCGATTCTGGCTGCTCCCTGCTGGAACTTTGCAGGAAGTGTTTGAAAAGCTATTGTCTTATTCTTTTAATTTAAATTTGTGTCAAAGCGTGGAGAAGAGAAATACAATTCATAATAGACTAATGTGACTGGTGTACTGCCTTCTAAACGTATCCGTAGTTTCTAATATATGTTAGGAACTCTATTACTTGTGAGATGCTGGATGTTCTGACTAGATTAATTTTGCAGTCTCTGATAGTGAATTTTGCGGAGGCTTCTGCTGGATGTTCTGATCTGTTCGTAATTTGAGTACCATGTCTTGTCAGATGTTTCAGGTGGTGAGCTTGCTGCTAGGTTTATGTTGTGCTCCACTTGTGTAGGAAAGAGCCCCTTAAGCTGTTGCTACAGGTCAGTCTCTGATCTGGGCTTTCTGTCACGACAAGTTGGTCTAAAATGCTCTAGCTTTTTAGTTGAATGTTTCCAGGCGGAAGCTGCTTCTGATCAAAAGTGGGTCAGAGTGATTCAAAGATGTAAGGTAAAAACTTATAGTTCCAAAGTGTCCTAGGATCAGATAGAGGACAACATATTTATAAAAATGGATCCCACTAATCTCACCCATCTCTGTATAACCCACAACTCTTGTTAATCTGGTTTGATGCATTGTACTGTATGCTGTTTAATTTTAATCTGGTTTAGTCTAATGCATTATGGTTTCATTTTAACTTGAAATTTTTGTTTCTTTTCACAGGAAGTGGTGATGGTCAGGGCCGGATTATCCAACGCTTTCCAGAAAAAGAATGGGAGGACAATCCCTTTCCACAGGGAATTCAGTTGGTTAGTTACAGCAAATACTTACTGTTTTAACTTAATTTTTAAAATGACATATATTATCAATTCCTCTTTGCTTTTTGTCTACCCTCTTATAATTGGCCCATAAATACTTGAAATTTGAAATACAAATAAAGTGCTGGAAACACTGTCCCATTTCTCCTTGTGTTGCCTAGCCAATGTTAACTGGCAATGAGGTGAGAACGAATGCAGTGATTTCCTGCAAATTTCCCTCCCAGCCTGTGACACTGTGCATTTGGGTATCCCTCCACAGTCAGGCAATAATTCAGATCAGAAGACTGCTTCAATTGTTTTTACTGCTTTCAATGACGAAAGTTTTAATAATTGGAAAAGTTTTTCAATAGCTCCATAGACGGTGAGAATGTTTTTGCTGTTTAGATCATTTTCATATACTGAAATCTAATACTGAAGCCTTAGTGCTTTTTGCACAGGCATTATTGAACACCGGCTCGATGCCTCATGCTGTTCTTCGATAATCTAAACTGACTCTGTACTGCAATATTCCAGGAGGTACTATGTTTTTCATGTGGTATAAAAATGATAACCTGTTTTATGTGTGCAGGTGTTTTCACTAGACTTTGAGAAACCTTTGGTATTTGAAAAACCAAAGGGAGTTGCTCTTGTAGAGAGCCAGCATAGGCATTATGTGCTGAATTGCCTCCTATTCTGTCAGATTTCTGAATTTTTTCCAGTGCCTTGGGCACATTATTTCTCAACCAACCCCATCAAGTATGTTGTTTTTATCAACTCACTGCTGTTTGTGCATCCTTGCACCATAGTCAGTCAGTTCCAAGTGGAGAGATTTTGGGGAAAAGTGCAGACAAAAGATGATTATCCAAACATACTGAAAAAATGGAGATTGAGTGATGCAATAGATTTCTTTAAAAATTGTCGTGCAGATAGTGCAGGTCACGGTAAAAACCATTCTGTTATTACAAAAGATTGGTTAGGCTGCAGTTGCTATGCTTTGGCAATTCTGAATGCTCCATAATAGGAAGAATACCAAGCAATTAGAAACTGTACAGATAGAAATCTTTGAGAGCCGATTCTAGTGATGATAAAGCTCCAATAATCTGGTACTTCCTTAACTGGGTAGTCATTTCCATTTTGGCAAGCTGTTACTAACAGGGTGTCGAAAAGATTAATGGTAGGACCTCCTGTTTATTGTTCAATGAGTATTTGATGCTAACCACTGCCAACATGTGGTTGAGTAGATTGCTATCATCTTCCTTTTTCTGACTGTCTACAGGACCTGTTCGGTTTAACGTCTAGAGGAAAGCCCTGAGGTAATGGAACAAGAGGCTTTTATCTTAAAAATATGCAGTTTATTGCATGATAGCTGTCAGGTATAACTTAGGTTAGTAAGATTTGTATTGTTACAAAGATTAATGGGTGACCGAGAATAACATTTGTCCTCTTTGAGATCCTGGGCTGTTATGGCTTTAGCTACCCAAGTCCTTGTGAGGTTACCCTGTTTGTTGGAGCTGAATGTTGTTTTTGGCATCAATCCTTTTAAAAATGATTATCAATAAAACATTTAGACTCAATGTTCGTGACTTAGATGCAAGCATACAAATTAGAAGCAAGTAGGCTGCTTGGTCTTTTGAGCTAGTTCTGCCTTTCCTTAAGAGCACAGCTGATCTAATTTATCTTTCATGCAAAAGGTGAAGTGAACAGGAATGAGGTGAACCAAGAGAGTCTCAAACAAGTGCATTTTTTAAACTTGTGAACCTGAGCTCTAGGATGCAGAGAATTCTGGGTGTCTCGGTGTATGAATCACACAAGTTTAGTATGCCTTACAAGTAATCAGAAGCCTAAGAATTGTTATGGTTTATCGTGAGGGGAATTGAATATGAGTGTTGTACAGGGCATTGATGACACTGCATTTGGACGTCTTGGTCACTACTTACAGAAAGATGTTCATGCATTGGAAGCATTTCTGAGATTATTTAGAGTCATAGACCAACACTTGAAATGAGTGGATTTCTATATGAGGAAAGCCTGTACACCTATATCCTCTGGAGCTTAGAAGAGTGAGAGGGGACTTATTAAAACATATAAAATCCTGAGGAGACTTGACTGGGTGGGTGTTGAAAGGATGTTTCTGCTTGTGGGAAAATCTGGAACTAGAGGTAATAGTTTAAAGATAGCGGGGTGTCAATTTAAAACAAATGAGGAAGTACTTTTTCTGAAGGTTGCAAGTCTTTGGTATTCCCTCCTTCAAAAGATATAGTGGATGTAGAATCTTTAATTATTTCTAAGGCAGAGCCAGATAAATTCTTGATTAGCAAGGGGATGAAAGATCACTGCGAATGTGCAGGAATGTAGAATTTAGGTTAAAATCTCATCAGCCACGACCTTATTGAATGGTGGAGCAGGTTTGAAGGGCTATGTGGCCTGTACTAGTTTTGTGTTTAGATATGTGCTTACTTGCCCCTTGTTTACTAAAAATCTATTTTCCTCTTCCTCTTAAATATTCAAAAATTGTGCTTCCACTGCCTTTCGAGGAAGAAATTTCTATAGAATTGCAATTATTTGAGAGAGAAGTTTTCCTCTTCAGTCTTTAATGGGTGTGCCCTAATTTTTAAGCGATGACCTCTACCTACCCGCAAGGGGAAACACCCTTTCAGCATGCACTCTGCCAAGACCCATAAGGATCTTTGTATTTTACATTCAGCCTGCCTCTTTGCTCTTCAAAAGTCAAGTTCAGCCCGTCCAATTTTTCCTCATAAGCCAACCTGTCCATTCCATGTATTAGTTTAGTAAATCTTTTCTGAACAACTACCACTGCCTTCCAAAGCCTTGTGGAACAGAAGCATATCCTCCCTATTTTTCTATTTAATTCCCTTTGTGATCAACAAGAATATTCTGTACCTCTTTCCAGTAATGGTACTGTACATTTTTGCTGTAGAACTATTCACACTCCTAGCCAAATTGTTGTAATACAGCTACAACACTGGCAATCTACCCGATAATGTTAATGTTACTGTTAACAGTACAACTACTAAAATCCTAGGTGTAGAAGAAGCTGAACTGGACCACCCACGTAAAGGCTCAAATTCTCTGGCAAGTAACATACCTCCTGTCTCCCCAGCAATTAAAAGACACCAGTTAGGAGTGGGATAGAATATTCAACGTCCCAATGACGACAGCTCAATTCCAAAGCATCCTGCTTGATTGGCACCCCATCCATCTCTTAGAGCATTCATTCCCTTCACCACTGATGCATAGCAGCAGCAGTATGTACAATCCTCCTTCAACAGCACCTTCCAAACCTGTGACCTTCATTAACAGGAAGGACAAAATCAGCTGTTGTTCAGGAACATTGCCATCTATACGTTTCCCTCCATGTCTCACCCATTCTGACTTAGAGTCATAGATCTGTACAGCATGGAAACAGACCCTTTGGTTCGACTTGTCCCTGCTGACCAGATATCATAAATTCATCTAGTCCCATTTACCAGTATTTGGCCCATGTTCTTCTAAATCTTTCCTATTCATATGCCCATTCAGATGCATTCAAAATGTTCTAATTGTACCAGCCTCCACCACTTCCTCTGGCAGCTCATTCAAAACACGCACCACCCTCTGCGTGAAAATGTTGCCCCTTAGGTCCCTTTAAAATTTTTCCCTTCTCATCTTCAACCTATGCCCTCTAGTTTTGGACTCCCCCACCCTGGGGAAATCCATGCCCCTATCTATGCCCCTTGGAAAATATTGCTATTTCTGAATTGTTGCTAGGTCAAAATTCTGAAACTCCAGAACACTTTGGGTGTCCCTACACCCAAGGACTTGTGACAGTTTAAGATAATAGAAATATATATACTTGTTCATTTTGGAAGGGAGAGCAAAAGAACATTATTATTTAAAATGGAGAACAACTGCAGAAAGCTGAAACACAAAGTTACTTTAGGATACTTATGCACAACTGAAAGCGAGCACACAGGTGCAGCAGGTAATCTGGAAAATTTGGCCCTTATTTCAAGGGTGTTGAAGTATGAGAGTAAGATAGTGTTATTGTACCTGAACAAGATACTAGTGACATTACATCAGGAATACTGTGAACAGTTTTGGCCCCATAATTTAAGAAAGGATATTTCATTGGAGGTGGTTCAGAGAAGGTTCACTAGGTTGATCCCTGGTATGAAGTGATTGTCTTACGAGCAAAGGCTAAACAGGTTGAGACTCTATTCACTGGAGTTAAGAAGATTGAAGGGTGATCACAATGAAACATATAGGATTCTTAAAGGACTCGACCGAGTAAATGCTGAGAGGATGCTTCCCCCCCATGGTATAGTCTAGCACCGGAAGGCACGGTCTCAGAATAAAGGGGACCAATTTAAGACTGAGATGAGGAAGAATTTCTTTAAGAATTGAATGTCTTTGGAACTCCTTGCCACAGATAGCTCTGTGACCACAGTCCTTGTGTATATTTAAGGCTGAGATAGATTCTTGATCAGGAATGGAAACGAGGGTTGTAGGGTAAAGGCAGGAAAGCGGATGTGAGAAATGTTGAATCAACCATGATCCTGCTCGATAGCAGAGCAGACTTGAGCTGAATGGCCTACTTCTGTTCCTATTTCTAATGGCCTTATGGTCTAAGACAGTTCCCTGGGCAATTGGGGATGGTCAATATTTGCTTTCCATTACTTGCTGTATCTCCATATTAACTATTCATGCACTAAGACACCTCTGCATATCAGAACTTTGCAATCTCTCACCATTTGGATACTAAAATTTTTAAAATCTTCCTGCCAAAAATGAAAACTTTTTTTGTATTTTACATTTTTTACTCTAATGACAGATCTTGACCCACTCACTTAACCTATCTATCCATTTCCTTCTCCCTGTAACTGTTGGTCCCCTTAATCAAGAACCTATCTATCTGTCTTAAATATACTAAATGACTTGGCCTCCATCGCTTTCTGTGGCATATGAATTCCACACATTCACATCCTTATGGCTGAAGAAATTCCTCCTCCTCT